CTGGCTGATAAGGACATTAATCCAAGTCATTTATAAACGAGCACCTAAATATACACATCGCTTAATTAAAGTTTGGCATCCATTATTGAAGTGAATCCTAGTTTTATGGGATGAAAAGGTAATTAGTCCCTCAACACCTTAGCGCTCAACTATGTTTCTGGGGGTTATAAATACAAACTGCTGCCTCGCGAAGGGTATCCTTAAAAGCAACAGCCTCCTGCTTTGAAAATCCACAAAGGAAATTTTTTTTTTGGAATAAGTTGCAACTGTGGATAGTTGGTGCTGATTACCATGAAGCTAGCTTACTTGTAGTTAATTAACTGCACAGAATACAATTGTCTTGCTTGCAATGAATCAAGGAAAAAGACTAGGGGGAAAAAATGCTGCCAGTTGGCATCTCAGTGTTATGGTTCGTTCTGCAGAGACGAATGACCTTTTCTTTATAATCTCTCAAAACAGAGGAAAGGAATCAGTTAAAGTAATAACAAATAATGACCCCTGTCTCGCCCAATGGGAAGAGTCATATTGATTTTTGTTATCCTGCAAGGCCGGAAATTATGACCTTAGCTTTTCAGGGATGGATGTGTCACTGTCTGCGGACTGAAATATCTATTTCAATGGATCAGGTCGGGTCAGAGGTCAATTTATGGATCTGAGCAAATTATATGATGGTTTTGTCTTGGAATATTATATTTATACACATATACCTTTACACATATGTATTGATAAAATACAAAATTTACATACACATATATAGATAAATCATTATATAATTTGTATATATGCACATACACCGTCATACCTACATCTCTACAGGAACCAGTTTGATGCTAATGAACAGGTGTGAATGAATTCATCAAGTTGTTAAGACGTTGGTAGCACTGTGTCGACACCGAGCACTTATCCTGTTAGTATCTGTACTCGCAGTCTTCTTACTTGGATCATCGCTCTGATTCTTTTGTGTCACCGTTAACTTTGTCCTTCTGTTCTTCTGATTAGTTTTATTGATTCTTTGTACTTCCAATGGCACCGGCTTTATTCACTTCCTCAGGGTTGGATTCTCACCAGTTAAACTACATTTTTGCCACATGAAACAGTTCATGTCAGCTCATGCCTAAAATGTTTAAATTGATGTGGCAATGGATATTCTTGAATGCAATTCATCGTTTGATATTTACTTGTTTTTTTTAAACATGCTTTAAGGTCATCTACTGGTTTAATGCCTTTTTCATGCTTGGATCCAACTTTACTTAAAGTCTTTAATGAAGAGCTTCAGAAATGGGGCTTAATCAAAGCACTGATCTTGATAAACACGAAAGCGCAAGTCAGCTGCTATCAAACAGCCTTACAAGCTTAAAGAAAACATTTAAAAATAGGCCTCTTTTATGTTGTCTTGCGTGAGTAACCGAGTAGAGTTTGCTTCAAGGAGTCTGTCTTTGCAAGCTCAAGTATAAAATAAATAAAAAGTCACCTCTATTTCATAGACTACATCAAAGTTGAATTCAAATAAAGCCTTTCTTTTATGCCTGAATTATCCAGATGCTGGTTAGAGTAGAACATTTAAGGTGAAACTTAAATGAATGACCACATTCAATTAAAACATTTTTCTTCAGCATTCCTTTTCTTTTAAACCACATTACATTTGAACGTCTGACATCAAAGATCTGGATGTGCTGGGATATTTCACTTTTCCCCCACAGTTGAGCTCTCTTTACTCTAAACAACACTGACAGAGAAGGTTAAAAAGGGCAAACTCTATTAGGTTGTCATTTTTCTGCCCAGGGTGTATTTACACCTTGTTTGATGGAGCCGTTGCAGCCTGAGACTGATGACGACCTGACAGTAAATTCAATAACCTAATAAGGATTCAGCTCGTCACTCTATTTCAACCTTTTTCTCCCACTGAACTGCACATAAATATTCTCTCAGTTCAGATGCATTTCTTGAACTTACACCATAATTGAGTCTGCTGTAAATTACCCCGTGTCAGTTATTACACTTAGCAGCACAGATTACTACCGCAGCTCAGTCATGTCAAAGGGCAACATTTAGCAAACACAGTACATGATATATATTAGCCTACTTCATTTTAATACGTGCTGCTGATTATTTTAATATAAGCTGGTTAATACAAGTGTCTGGGGAACGGACATTACAAATACACAGAGTGTAGTTCATGGTATTTCTTTGTTGGGTTGATGTTGAAAATAATACACACTGGTCTACACCAGGGTTCTCCAACTATATTTATCTTTTATATATATATATATTTTCTGCACAGACACACTGTGGGCTGAACCTTCAAATAAAATGAAATAAAATCACACTCATTATTTTCTTATGTTAATTTTGAAATCCGGTCATGGGCCGGATTAGGCCCCTGAGCCGCCAGTTGATTATCACTGCTCTACAGTTAGTCAGTCATTATTTTTTCATTTAATTACTTGGTTTAGCCAATTTGTCAAATTAAACAATGTCACTTAATTAAGAAAATTAGATTCAGCAAAAAAACACTGTCCATATTAATAAACAAGTGTCATTGCAACAAAGACAAAATATCTTTTCAAACTTTTCAAAGTGAAGGACAGTAGGTGGCTGCAGAAGAGGGTTGAGCCTTTTTGGAATTGAATGATTGAATCTTGGCAGGAGATTCATTAAAATGGTAATTCTTATTTATGAAGCCTTTTAAAAAATTAAAATACTCTCTATGTTCTGCTCCCTATTAATTAACTTTTCTCTTTTCATTTTATTTCCTTCTCCTCGCCGCGATTTCTTCACTTCCCACTGAACCTGACACTCTAATAGGTTATGAATAATTCTCTCTCAGTTTAGACGGCAATTAGCCACAATGCCAGCGGCCATCCTTCTTCCTCATTTGTGGAGTTAGTGATTTAGGGCCCAGCTGATTTAGGGTGCTCCAACTATCCCGAGCCTACATCGTTCACACTTTCCCACCAGGGCTGAATTAAAAACATTTGACTAAGGGAACAGACTTTGGGTGTGTGAATGGCTTACTCAAGCATCAGCGTGAATTAAAATGAAGAGGAAAAGTTAAAATAAGGTGGAGGGATGGGGGAGGGATAAAAAAGAATAAAAATAAAACATGTAGATTTATTACAGAGTTTATGCCTAAAACATTGTCCAACAATTAAGGTGTCAGGGTTAGAGCTCTTATATAATGGCTTAAGAAAGACACATCCTTGTTCTAAATCCAAGTGAAATCAGTTTTTACAAAGGTTAAAGCTTGACTTTCTTTTCTTTACTCTTCTATGCTAAAATAGTACTGCATTTATGTGTTTCTTTCTTATAACAGGCATTTCTAAGGTGCAGGATATTAAAACAGCCGTCAACAAACGCTTTAACAACCAAGGAAAAACGTCTCTATTATCTGACTAAGGAGCTATTTAATCATTTCATTTAAGACTCACAATTGTTTGTTTTTTTATTTTATTTTTACCAACTTGACATGGTTTAGGTTGCGAGTGGTACTAAAAATGTTAGGGTGAAATGAAGTGGAGCCAACGGGTAAACAAAAACAAGGATGCTGTGGAATCTTTCCGACTGAGAGCTGACAGAGCAGAGTTTTTTTTTTTGTAACCACACTAGCAGAAGATGCAGGCTGAGCACAGACATAATAGACATGCTCTCATAATCAAAACGCTTGTTGCTGCAAAGCAGGTCTGCATTCAGGCAGAGCTACAAATCTCTCCGCCTGCTTGATAGATAGGATAGAGTGTCAGCTCAGTACTTAGGTTGCCATATATAAATAATGATTTCATAGAATGATTTCATGATTAAAAGCACCAGCTCAGATATTTTGAAGTACCTGGAGACTTTAGGGGAAATATATATATTTTAGTGTTATATTTTAACAATAAAACATCAACTCAAGTTGTATATTCATTGGACTAGTAGTGGACAGAGTGAAGTATCTGCTACTGAACTGTATGCCAAGCCTGTATGTGGCGCTCTGTCAACCATGCTCTAGGGGTGTAACAATACACTCTACTCACGATATTATACAAATTCACAATGACACTGAAATAGTTATATTCAACGTCTTTGTGTCCAAACCATCTCAAAGGTGCATTTTTCTACGTATGTTTCAACGTAAATAAAAAAGTGGCGCCTGGCTACAGCTGCTGCTGAGACTCCAGACTTCCTGTAAAGCATCATCTGTGAAGATCTCAAACCCCGGCAGAATCTTTCACCTGCCTTCAGCTCTCACCAAAGATCACAACGTCATCTGCAAACAATGAACTCAAGGTTCAAGTAAACCTCTCTCTGACCAGGTTTGTCATCCTGTAACGACGTTTCAGCTTCTCCTATCATCGTGGTCGCCACAGTGGCAATCTCGCAACCCATCTGAATCAGGACGTCACACCACGCCACAGTATCGATGTCTTAATTTTGTCCTGCGTCACCCTTGTACTTTTCTGCCACTCCCTTCTCATTAAGTATCCTGTTTACTTCTTTTACACTGATACATTCTTTCTCTAGAAAAGAAAACAAAGACATTTAGAACTTTTTTATACTTTGCCAATAAAGCTTCATCCTTTTGCGTAACATGTAAAAGATTGTCGGAAAAATCTTTTACCTCTCATTTTGAACGACAACTGATTTGTGTATCCATTATATAGTTGATGAAAATGTTATGATATGTATCTTAGTACAGTTGAATTACCTCATAAAGAATGGATGCTCACTTACATATGCATATACATATCCAACATGGGTTTTTAAACATTCTCCCTTTGGTGCTGCTCATGAAACCTGGAACCGTTCGCTGTTTGTAGTGATCAAGAGAACGTGGGCTTCTACCCCCAGGCCTGCACCACATCTCTCTGTCATGATATCCAACCTGCTGACTTTGAACAATCCCTCTGTGTGTACTCCACATCCTCCCAGCCCAGCATTCAGTTTTACCCACGGATACACCGAATACTGTATGGAACACTTGTCTAATTTCAAATTTATATATAACAGAAGGATGTACTCACACATAACAGTAAGAAAAATATCCCCTGAAGCCAGAACGACCTTCTCCCTCGTTGCCCGATCGTAGATGCCCACGTGGCATTCGTAAGGCCCATTGTCTGAGATTCGTACTTCTGGTAGCCTGGAAGAAAGACAAAGGGTTGACGTTATTTTTACCGAACATCTGCAAATTATGACATGGTACATACACATACACCCAAAGACAACAGAGAAGAAGAAGAAAAAAAAGTACATCCATAAACAGTCTGTGCACGTGTTGTATTATTTAATGCATCTTTATACTGTGTCCTCTGCTTGATGCAGCATCAAAAAATAGACTTTAAAACCAGCAGAAAAAACCTCAATGTCTTCACTGAAAAATAAACACAAAGCTGATTTTCATACAGAATGAGTCATGGAGACAGAAAAATAAAGTCTTCAAAAGGACGCTTCCTAATATCAAAAGCAGTATGGTTGTTGATTTTATTTGATTTATACTGATATAATGATATGCTAAAATAGTTACTTTTAGCCTGCATGAAGTAGAAACATAGAAACAACTGTTCAGTTTTAATAATAGACAAATGAAACTAGCGGATTATTAATGATGTTTTTCACTGAAGGCTTTAAAAAAAATAACTTTTTTTTTTCCAAAAACAACCATGGAGACAATTCATTATTCTGCTCTTGGCTGATATGTTGACCATAATTGAGGCGAGACCAGATTTACCTCAGTGACTCATTCAAACTGTCCCTGTTGCCCTGGAGTTTAGACAAAGACTTGACTCAGAACCAAGGCATTCACAATTCTGCAGTACTGTGCAAAAGTCAGGCAGGTGTATTCAGTATATTTTTTATACCGTTTATATAGTTTTGTTTCCTTCTCATTAGTAGAACGTTATTTCAGTTAAAAATGTTGTGGACTAAACAAGAAGTCTTCAAACTGATACATTAGACAAATTGTCAATATATTGAAAAATAAAATAAAAATATTTTATACAAATTTCTAAATAGTCAATGAAGGCAATTAAACAGAAAGTGAGCAGAGCTTTTACACCAACAGTGAATTTCCATTTAAAACACTCCTGCTTTCAATAAAAAATGTGTCAGTTAAAATGTGTAGCAAAATTTCTATACCTCTATAAACAAAATAACACACACACTGCTGTCACAGAGTATCGGGTTACCAGACCGACAAGTGTTTTGGAGCACAAGAATCCATGCAGCAGGTGAATAAGTTATCTCGCCCAGTACTATATCTATTTTGTCACATCCCTAATCTGTACAGAGGTCCTAGGTTTATGTTATATTAACAAGTTGGTGGAGCGGCTGAATATGTTTTTATGCAGCACCATACGTGGAAGGAATAAATTGAATCGTGCTGCATTCACTTACTTTTGTTTGTGTTGTTTTTCCCGGTTTGCCATGCAGTACAGCTCAAGTGTAAATCCGACACCTCTGATGTTTTTATGTCCTAGATTACGATGTGGCCACTGTGTTAGCGTTAGGTCAGTGACACGGGTATTTATGTACAGTATGTCAGTCCCGACTTACGGCAAAAATCTAGTTACTCTGCATGGTGGGAACGAAATTCTGATGTAGGTCAAGGACAAGCTGTATTTTTATGAACTGCATTTTAGCTATTCAACCTGAACATATTCATTTTGTTTTAACATTTTCAGCCTATTTTATCTATTTGTCTGTCATTTGTTTAATTGTGGACGGTTATTTCCTTTTTTTTGACATTTTAAAATCCTAGTCATGGACTAGATTTCTGACATGACCTACAATGGATTCATATAAGTTAAAAAAAGAAAGAAGAGCGTTGACACATGGTGAAGTAAAACCATCTACACAGGAAGTGACTTTCTGCTCCACCACTTAAACACACACATATTAGCAAAGGAGAAGAAGTAGAAACGATGAATGTTGAGCGAATGTTAAATATTAAGACAGGACGAATAAATGTTTCAACACGTTCTGTAATCTTTTATGTCCGATGTTTCAGATGTGTCAGGGTCAGAACTGGGAAGCTGCTAGGGAAAAAATGAACATGTCAGCAGTGGAACTCATGTAAGATCTTCCTTTGCTGAGATAAAGATCTTGGTAAGTGAACATGTCCATAATCCACTCCAGACAAGACATTTGACTTGTTTATCCAGAAGACACAGAGTGCATTAGGGA